AGAAAATATAATGACACATGCATAATTTGGTGAAAATGTAAGCTATCTTATACTTCCTGTAAGACTTTTCTTTTAGGCAATACAATTATTTAAAGATAATCTCATTTAGATATGTTTTATTGTGTCATACCACATTTTTTTGTCTCCTAAAAACACTTAGGAACTCCGTAAACTTTATTCGTGTAACAGTATTTTTGGGTTATAGAATTGGTTTTGTGATTCAGCTTTGCTCTGTTTCCTTACTCAGAATTGTGACTTTTTTTTCCCCTGTAGCTGTTTCCTTCTGAGTATGAAAGATGACAGTATTGAAGGGATTTATGATACTCTAAAGCAGTGTGCACTGATTTCCAAATCTGCAGGAGGAATTGGTGTTGCTGTGAGCTGTATTCGAGCTACTGGCAGCTACATTGCTGGGGTAAGCTTTTGTCATGTGACTTTTGGAAAAAAATGTAGGCCAGGGCGGTTTTAAGTCCATTAGCAAGCAGGCTTATGTTTGAGAAGGCACCTGTTGGTGTTTGGAAGCCCCCAAGTCTTTGCTAATTATTAGCTGTCTGTGTGCTTTAGAGTCTTTTCACCTGTGGCTTCATTTCTAGAATCCCTAGAATCCTTTTTCAGCTCTGATTTTGATTTATTTTAGAAATAAGTATAGTTTCAGAAACCTTAAGGAGGAGTTCTGCCCTGTTGTATGGAACCACTATGGGTTAAAATTGGTTTGGATTTGATATAATTTATTGAATACTCGAGATGTACTAATTTTGTTATAAAGTTCATGTTTGACCTTAAGCACTTTGTTTAATCCTTATTGCAACCTTATGAAATAGATACCATTACAAACATGTTAGGAAAAGTAACTTTACCATAACCTTGTGAGTACAGGTACTATTCGAATTTTAAAAGTGAGGAATCTGAGGTTTATTAACTTAAATTACTTTTGGGATCACAATATATGAGCCAGGGTTCAAGCTCTACACACTGACACTTTATGAGATAAACTCTAGCCATCTTGTTCGTTGACTATTCATCAGGAGTCTAGGTAATGATTTTGACTATGACCTTGTTTTAAATATCCACTACTTACTAGCAGGGTGACTTCGAGCAAGTTATTTTATATCTCTGAGTTAGTTTTCTTATTTGTAAAATCAAGAAAATGACTTAACCCAGTAGGATGAAGTTAGTAAACACTTACCTAGCAGGAAATTGGTTATGATGTTGTAAAGGTTCTGTATTCAGCATCTACTGATAGACCTGGGACAATTGACTGTTGTTCCTTTGGTTTGCACTAGGATGCTAAAGAATAAAAAATCCCCGCACTTTCTGTCTGTCTTTGTGGCTGGTCCAGATTGAATGGGGGATTACATACGTAGAAGAAAAAGAAACAACAATAAAGGTGCTGTATTTATATGTATATCACTGTACATGGACACAGCAGTACAATGAGCCGTTGTTCACCTATCTTTCTGACTGTTTAAGACTTTCCTTGAAGAATTAAAGAATCTGAAGAGGTTTCTTATAATCTTGGGGTTTCAGTGGCAGAATTCTCACCTTTCATGCAGGAGGCTCAGGTTGGTCCCAGCCAGTGTATCTCCTGTGTAGCCACCACCTGGTCCAACTTTCAATGTCCAGTGTACTGCTAGTGGAGGCTTGCATGTGGTTGTGATGCTGAACAAGTTTCAGTAGATCTTTCTATCTTAGATGAGCAAGGAAGGAAGACCTGGTAATCTGCTTCCATAAAATAACCAATGAAAACCTTGTAGGCCATACTGGTCTACTCTGCACCCCATCATGGGGAAGGCACAGTACGGAACAGTGTTTCATTCTGTTGTGTGTGGGTGACCATGAGTGACTCCACAGATGCAGGCAATATAGTGTAGTCTTAGAACTCTTGCTCTCGTTAGAATGCAATTATTGTTGAGTATCGCTCCATTTGCCTTATTTATTGGTTGAAGTTACCCATTGCAAATAATTCTCATTGTAAGTTGTCTTCAATTCTGTGGGGGGAAAGACATTGTAGTAGTAGTTTCACGTTTACCTAAAGTGTTCCTTTATATAGTGACTTTTAGAAATTGTGGCGCTTGTTTACCCAAATTTGGGGCTTTCTTGACTTATAATTTTATATATCTCATTGTAAATTAGAGATGCCATGACATAATCTTGTAATGATTATAATTAACACAAAACATTATGTGGGTTTTATGTTGGCTACTACATTTTCAAATTGGATGTTGAGAGGAAGGGAGAATGGGTAAAATGATAGATTGCTAACTGGAAATTAGTTACCCTTCCAAAAGTGTGCTGTTTGTTGTCAGATCCCATTGCATTAATTCTAAAACATGACCCTATGTACAACTGAATGGAACGCTCCCACTTGTTCTTATGTGTGAGTCCATTAATGTAGCCACTGTGGCAATCCATCTTGTCTACGGTCTGCCTGCTACTTTACCAAGAACATTGGCCTTCTCTGGGGACTGTTCTTTCCTGACCACATGGCCAGAGTACATGAGAGTAACTCTTGCCTTACTTGCCTCTCGGAAGCATTCTGGCTTTACTTCTCTCAAGACAGGTTTGTTGGTTCTTTTTGGCAGTCCATGGTACTTTCATTATTCTTTGCCAACACCATAATTAAAATGCATTGATTTTTCTTCATTCTTCCTTTTTCAATGTCCAACTTTCACATACATGAGGCAATTGAAAATATCATAGCTTGGTCAAGGTCACCGTAGTCCTCACAGTAACATCCTTGCTTTTCAACACTTTAAGGAGATCTGTGCAGCAGATTTACCCAATGAAATTTATCATTTGATCTCTTGAATATTGCTTTCATGAGCATTGATTGTGGATCCAAGCAAGACTAAATTCTTGACAACTTCAGTTTTTTCTCCATTTACCTATTACCTACTGGTCCAGTTGTGAGGATCTTGGTTTTCTTTACATTGAATTGTAATCCCCATTGAAGGCTGCAATCACCACCCATAGATGAGGTGCTGGTGAGGGAAGAGGCTCTGGCTGAGCGTGTTTGATATTTTCCAGCAGTTTTGTCCGGATGAGAAGTACAGGGAAGCTGGTTGGCTGGTCCTCCTTACAGTAGAAAATCTGCTCAAGGAAAGGGATAGTCTCAGAACCTCAGAAGCACGTCTCAAGTGCCGAACCACAGACCTAAAAACTTTTGCATGTGCTACAGAGGAGAGTCTTCTCTCCTCTAGTAAAAGACATTGCCGAGAACCAAATCCAGTCTCATCATACGAGTCGCTGAATTACAGCATCAGCTGAATTGCAGGACTAGAACAGAGTCTGATTAAAGTAAGGGCATTAATCAGAAAGAATTGGGACCCTGAAACATGGGATGGGAACATATGGGCTGATGATCCAGAAGAGGAGGATATTGAGGCCCTAGAGTCATTTGAGCCACCCCAGTCAATAGATCCATCCCTCCCACCTGAGGGGATTAATCATCTATCAGTAAAACAACCCACACTTGACCAGATTAACCAAACTGTTCAAGCTGCAGTGCCAGGTAGGGCTGCATCTGTAGCCTGCCTGAGGAAGATGCCTTACAAGATATTGCTGAGAGCCCCCAGGAAACACCCCCACCACCCATTATATCCTCTAGATCTGTAACTCAGACGTTCCTAAAGGAGGTGAGGTTCAGATGATGACTCAGGAAGAAGTGTGCTATACTCATAAAGATCTGCTTGAGTTTTCTAATACATACAAGCAGAAGTCTTGGGAATATCCCTGGGAATGGTTACTAAGGGTGGGGGGGTACTGGTGCAAGGAATAAAGCATTAAACCAGTCTGAGTTTCTTGATAAGCATGGATTCTTATCTAAGCATGGATTCTTCCTTCAGTATCTCAGCAAGAGAGGTTAAGAGAGGATCTAATTGCTTATTTGGTTGGTTCACTGAAGCATGAGCTGCCAGATGGCCTAGATTAGACCAACTTGAGGTACCTGATCATCCTTGGTACACTGTAGAAGAAGGCATCCAAAAGCATAGGGAAATTGATATGTTGAAATGGATCTATCAGAATAATCCCATAGACCCAAAAGGGAGCTTCCTGAGGACATACCCTTCACCACAACCATAAGGAACAAGTTTGTGAAGTGGGCCCCAGCACCTCTTGAAGACTCTTGTGATTGTTGTTTTATGTACACCAGGATTAACAGTGGGTAATGCCCTAACGGAACTCTGATATTTGCCTTCAAGGGGCTGATTGGGCCTGTGGTGGTAGGGGGTAGGTGTTAGCACTGAATTAACAGAGATGGGGTGGATGTGGTTATTGTAGTGGACAGGACAGCAAGGTTTCCGTAGTAATCAAAGCACCCTGTCTCGTGTGGACTTACAGCTTTGGCTAGGAGTAAAATACATGGGAAACCTACTAAATGTTTACGTGATCTGTACAGGCAGAAGAATGCTAGATCAGGTGAACAGCAGAATAGAGTCATGACCACTCAGTCAATTCCCACACCTGAGCCAGTTTACGGGCCCACAACCCTTGTATGAGGGGAAGGCAGGTCCCTTTGAAGAAGGATCCTGCTACATCACTGAAGGCTTATACTGTTATATGTTCCCATTCCTTGGCAACCTGGTGACAGGTTGGTTACATAGGCCACTTGTATCATGGAGGGGGCAGCATTTTGTTCTTACTGGAATAGACACCTACTTTGGATATGGATTTGCCTTCCCTGCATGCAATGCTTCCTCCAAAACTACCCGTCGTGGACTTCGAGAATGCCTTATCCACCGGCATGGCACCCCATATAGCATTGCTTTAGATCAAGGAACTCACTTCATGGCAAATGAAGTGCAGCAATGGGCCTATGCCCATGGAATCTACTTGTCATATCATGTTCCTCATCATTCTGAAGCAGCTGGCTTGATAGTACAATGGAATGGTCTCCTAACGATACAATTACTGTGCCAGTAGGAGGCAACAACTTGCAGGGCTGGGGCAGTGTTCTCCAGGAGGCTGTATACTCTCTAAACCAGCAGCCAATAAGTGGTGCTGGGTCTCCTCTGGGTCCAGGAACCAAGGGGTGGAAGCTGCAGTGACACCACTCACTATTACTCCTAGTGATCCACTTGCAGCATTTTTACTTCCTGCCCCAGCAACCTGATACGCTTCAGGCTTGGAGGTCCTAGTCCCCAAGGAAGGAACTCTCCCACCTGGAAACACAGCACTGATTTCACTGAACTGGCAGCTGAGACACCCCACTGGCCATTTTAGGCTTTTTATACCTTTGGATTAACAGGTCAAGAAGGGTTTCAGTGTACTGAGTGGCTTGATTGACCCTTGTTACCAAGGAGAAATTGGACTGGTGCTACATAATGGAGGTAAAGAAGAATATGTCTGGAATCCAGGAGATCCCATAGGCCGACTCTTGGTACTACCATGCCCTTTGATTAAAGTAAACGGTAAACTACAGAACCCAATCCTGATAGGACACCTAATGACCCAGACCCCTCACGAAGGTCTGGGTCACCCCACCAGGCAAATAATCACGGCCAGCTGAGGTGGTGGCCGAGGGCAAAGGTAATACAGAAAGGGTAGTAGAAGAAGGTAGTTCTACCTGTCAGTTACAACCACGTGATCATTGCAAAAGCAAGGCTTGTGATTGTCGGTTTATCTTCTTTACATGTGCTTATTGAATATCTTTCCTTTGTTCATGTATGATGTTAGATGTAAGTGTGGTTTCATTAATGTCTGGAAGTTATATATGGGTAAAGAATTGTGTGCAGTTGACAAGGGTTAGACTGTGATAGGTAGGTTTATTGTGCCAATCTGGCCAATAGGAGTATGTAGGATTAATCAGGTTGCAGTTTGGTTGGAGGGAAAAGAGATAAATAACTTGGCAAGGTCTGCCCCTCTCTTCCTCTCAGGTGATTAGACTGTAGCTGCTTTAACTAGTCTCTGCCTCAATTTGTGAGCTACACTACCCGTGGGATACCCAACCGGGATAGCCAACCACCCGTGGGTTCTGTAGCTAGAGCTTGAGGTTCCTTCAAGATTTGCTTCGCCTCGCTGCTGGCGTGTACATCGCTTGAGCTTGAGGCTGGTGGATCCTTTCGTCTTGCATTACTTCAGCTTGCTATCCCATCCGGGCCTGCTTCACTAAGTTTCTGAACTGCTGACTGTTGGGAACCTGGCCTGCTCCTTGCTGCCTGTGGGCGGACTTTGTGGGCCTTGCAATAGGGAAGAGTCAGCTGTCTGCTTCCTTGACCTTGGACCCAGCAGCCCTTGTGAGTTGAAGGACTTCAAGTATATTAACTGTTCCACAGAAGTGAGTTGACCTGAGCCCTCTGTATTGCTGTGTGGACTAGTTAACTGTTATTTTCCCTTCCTGCTGTATATATTTATTCATATATATAAAATCCTAAGTGTCCTGGTTTTGTTTCTCTAGAGAACCCTGCCTAACTAGACAGGTGATGCAGCAGAATGCTCAAATTATAAAACAATATTATTAATATCACTTACAAGTAAAATTTTGCTGAAAATTATCCAACAATTGTTGCAGCAGTAGATTGATAATGGAGCTACCAGAAATTCAGGCCAGATTCCAAAGAGGACATGTAACCCAGCATATCATGGCTGGTGTTAGATGGATTATGGCTGAAAGTAGAGAATACTAGAAAGATAGTTACTTATGTTTTATTGACTATGCAAAGGCATTTGGCTGTGTGGACCATAACAAACTATGTATAGCCTTGAAAAGAATGGGAATCCCAGAACACTACATTGTTCTCATGTGGAACCTGTACATGGATCAAGAGGCAGATGTGCGAACAGAACAAGGGCATACTGCACGGTTTAAAATCAGGAAAGTACAAAAGTTTGGGAGTCATTTATTATCTTTTGGGACTATTTTATTCCATTTGCTCAGCCCTCTCAGTCTCTGCTCGCACTGCCATCAAGTCCATTTGACTCATAGCACCCTTAGAGGACAGAGAGACGCAGACTACCTCATCTTTTTCCTTGTCGTGGCTAGCAGGTTTGACCTGTGATTAACCAGTGATTAACCCAGCATGCCACCGTGGCGCCTTTCTGTCTTTCCTGATGCCTTTATTCTTGGACTTTTTTCCAGACTAATGGCAATTCCAATGGCCTTGTACCGATGCTGAGAGTGTATAACAACACAGCTCGATATGTGGATCAAGGTGGGAACAAGGTATGTTCTCATAGTTGAAAGAACTGAAATGCTTTAGCCATTGAACAGTGAGATGGTTCAGTAGTGTATAGTTGTAATTATGTGATTTTTTTCCATTTATCTTTAAAAACTAGTTCTTGAGCTATCATTTGCTTTAAACTATAGATTGTACTTTAAGTGTACAGTTTGATTAGTATTGACAAATTTATACATTTGTAGACTCACCACCCCACTTGGGATATAGATCATTGCCATCATCCTCCAAATGTCCTTGTGCACCTCTGCACTCAGTTTCTACCTGTCATTTCTACTCATGTATACTGTGCCCCTGGCTCCGTGGAGCCGCTACTCTAGTCAGTCTTTTTATTGGATGCTTTATTTGTAAAGTATTGATTAAGTTACAACTCATTTTACTACATAGCCTTAAATAGAGGTTGCAATGTGTATTTTATTCTGAATTTTCCTTTAAAAACAAAACAAAAAACCCTCTCAGTTGTAGACAGAAAAATAAGGTTAAAAAATATGATTGTCTACTCAGTGTTATCAACAGGGTAGTTTAAAACTTGTGGCTGTCCCTCTGACAGACTTAAAAAAATAATCATCTGTGAAGACCTTGATAAGACACATCACCTCATAAGACACTTTGACCTTTAATAAAGAGCCCAGCCTTATTATGTTGTCAAAGTTAGGCTCTATCAAGTTGGGTGCAGCACTTTGGATGAGTTATTTAATCTTAGTCAATATTTTCTTTGTCAATTGTTCTTTCTTACTCCTGGAATTATAAGGAAAATGTTGCTACCCACAAAAACTTTTTCCCCCCAACAAAACTTTTATGGTACTTAAAAAAAATTCTATCATTTAATTCATCCATTATAGTGAAGATTAAAGGAAATATTATAAAAGTGCTTTAGGGAAGAGGATGTTTGCCTTGTTTTAGTTTGATTCTAAAAAGAATGACTATTTACCATTAGCGCCCTGGAGCATTTGCTATTTACCTGGAGCCTTGGCACTTAGACATCTTTGAGTTCCTCGATTTAAAGAAGAACACGGGGAAGGAAGAGCAGCGTGCCAGAGACCTCTTCTTTGCCCTTTGGATTCCGGATCTCTTCATGAAACGAGTGGAGACTAATCAGGTGAGAGTTGAGTACCTGTTACTAACAGTCATGTGCAAAAGAGCTTTCTCTTCTTCAGTCGTCTTAAGTGTGATGCCATGGACAGAAAGCTATCTGAGCAATTAAGAGCTACCATCCTTTCCTCTTACATTTTATTCCCTAAAGTGATACTGTTAGGCCTAAATGTACACACAAATGTTTTGGCCTGCATCTAAAGTTATTTCCACGCAAAATTGACAAAGAGCCTGGAAAAGCACCCATCGCTTACAGTGTTTCAGTGGCCTGTGACTGGTTCTTTGAAGTCTTTCATTGGTGTTATGTTTTTTGCTTTGTAGGACTGGTCCTTGATGTGTCCAAACGAGTGTCCTGGTCTGGATGAGGTTTGGGGAGAGGAATTTGAGAAGCTGTACGAAAGGTCTGGGAATACCACAGATTTCTGAACATGTTTTGACTATGTGCAAGGGCTTCAAAAAACGTATAGAAAATCTGAATGAAAAGATAATGGAATTTTTCCACAAAGTTTTTGAAACCCCCTCATAATGTTTCTCTTACTTGGGTGATTCAGATTTCAAAAGTGTATCAGTCACTAGCAAGTCTCGAAATTTTCAGAAACTTTTAGGTGAGAGTGTGATTAATTTAGTTTTGGTCAGGTTTGGTCCCTGATTCTTTACCAAAATTTTGGCTCTTCTTTCTTAAAACTCTTGGATATGTAAATAGTTGCTAAGATTTTTAAATTGGTCCTTACAAAAATTAAGGCCAAAACTATGAGGGTTATTGTTTTGCTTTGCTGTACAATACATTTGATAAACTAAGTTATGCTTTATATTGAACTTAGGAAGTGTGTGAGAGATGAGGACACACATTTTAATAGTTCAGTAAATAAATAGCACATTATCGTGAGATTTGGCTACTTCGTTTTTCCTTTTAATTCTGAAAAGTATTATTGGTTTAGTCGGATTGGAATCCATTTAAAGGATTTCAAGCTGCCTGACTTTCCTAAGTGGAAAAACTTAAGAATGTTAATAATTGTATATTTTAGTGCCTTTTCTTCAAGTTGTCTGTAATGAAATTTTTCTTAGTGTATAAATATTAAAACAAGTAGCTTTGCCTTTCAGTTATGAGAAACAGGGTCGTGTCCGCAAAGTTGTCAAAGCTCAGCAGCTTTGGTATGCCATCATTGAGTCTCAGACAGAGACAGGGACCCCGTACATGCTCTACAAAGATTCTTGTAACCGGAAGAGCAACCAGCAGAACCTGGGCACCATCAAAAGCAGCAACCTGTGCACAGAAATAGTAGAGTATACCAGCAAAGATGAGGTGGGTAGAAAAACATCTGCCTTAGAGTACTGAAGGAACTGTAGGCAGTTATTGCATGCAAATCCCTTGCTTAATTTCACCTGAGATGGGAGTCCGGCGTTTTCATAGTTTGTAAACAGAAGAGCACTTATGTAGCCAATGAGAAGTTTTAAAGATGTATGATTTTTACTCTTAAGTGTATTTCAGGATATAAATTGTGTAAAAAGACTGGTTTTTCTTGCACATCTTTTGTAGTAATTTTTACTTGAGAACAATTTCAGTGTACTATTGTGGTTTAAGATAAACACAAAATTCTTCAGAAGCTCTTTCAGATTAAAGTATATCAGCATGTGGGACATCCTTCAGTAAAGGGTCAGACAGAATTCTAATCTTAAATCTCACAGGAGAGTTTACAGAAGAGACAAGGCTAAAAATGGGGGATGGCATTTGCAGAAAAGACAATGTTTTGCGAGAGGCTTTATTCCATTTATGAAGAACAGACCACATAGCAGAACCGTGATAGGGGTAGGGTACGTGCCAAGTACGTTTATTTTGACGGAGCACATACATTGAGCCTGGGTGTATGGAGAGATGGCTTTGCTTAGGAAGAGAGAGTTGGGAGCTAACCATCTGTGTCTCAGGGAGGCACCCTTATAGGTTGCTGAAAGGAAAATAGTGTTAAGATGCTAGGATGAGAAGAATGGTTCTTGTTTCTGGCAAGAGTGTCTCCGTGTGAGAAGAGATTGGAGATGGGGAGGTCCACCTAAGGAGGTATTGAAATGGTTGGATGGCAGGCCGTTTGGATATTGGATTAAATTTACTGTACAGATGAGGAAGGGCCTGGCCTTCTGGAATTGAAAAAAGTATGTATTGCTAATTGCTGTTGAGTCCATTTTGACGCACAGAGCCCCTATGTGACAAAGGGAATTGTCCCATGGGGACAGTCCCCACTGCAGTCAGTCCCCGCGAGCAGACAGTCAGGCTTTCCTGCAGAGCCACAGGTGTTTCAAACTGCCAACCTTTCTGTGCACTAACTGCTACACACCAGGTTCTTTAAAACAAAGGAAACTCAGGACACAGCTAGGATGTAAGTTAAACCTAATGCCCAAGTTGCACATGAACCCACTAGGAGGGAATTGACATGTGTTACAGTTGCACTGCTGCCGAACTCTAGAACACTTTCTTCAACCTGGACAGAAGCCCTATTTATGCCCATTAGCAGTCATTCCCCATTTCCTTGTTTCCCCAGGCACTGATCTCTTCCACCATTTTGCCTATTCTGGACATCCCATATAAATGGCCTTACATAATAGGTGGCCTTCTGTGTTTTTCTTCTTTCACGTCACTTAATGTTTTCAGAACTTAATTATATTTTAGCATGTATCACTATATTATTCCCTTCTGTGTTTTTCTTCTTTCACGTCACTTAATGTTTTCAGAACTTAATTATATTTTAGCATGTATCACTATATTATTCCTTTCCATTCAGAGTTACCCTACAAGGTTTCATACAACTGGCTACCTGCATGCACTTCCCCTGCTGTTACTGTTACTTTCGACCTTGCTCATTGGGCTCTAGCCCTGCTAGTTTCAGAAATGTCAAGCATGTGCTGCCTCGGGACCTCAGGATTTTGCAGTTGTGGCGTACTCTTCCCTGAATGTTTAAATGCTCCTCACCTGGTTTGCTTCCTAACCATTGTTAGCTCTTGGTTCACATGTCACATTCTCATTGAGGCCTTTCTTGATAGTTATTTTCAAGTGATGCCCTTTCATTTTTATTTCCTACACTCTTCTTTTCCTAAATTGTTTTTCACTTAAACTTTTATTAGACAGATGTGATCCACCCCAAACTAAACCACCTGCTGTGGAGGTGATTCCGATTCATAATGACCCTGTAGGGCAGTGTAGGACTGCTCTCATAGGGTTTCCAAGGCTGTCGATCTTAACAGATGCAGTCTGCCCCATTTCTCTCCTGCAGAGTGGCTGGTAGGGTTGAATAATTGATCTTCTTGTTGGTCCACTGCTTTAACCACGGTGCCAGCAGAGCTGCTTCTATGTGAGCTCAGCTTTTTAAAAAATGGGTCTTTCCCCTGTGCTGCTTCTCAATTCAGACTAGACTGGAACAAGTACACAGGTATAGAAAGGGATGGGAGCTCACGACACACAGAGTCCAGGAGCAGGAGTGGGAATAGTGGTACCAGAAGGGTAGGGGGAAGAGGAGGAGAGGAAGGGAGAAAGGAGGAACCAATCACAATGATTGACACATAACCATACACCCCATCTACAGGGGGAAGAACAACAGAAAACATGGGGGAAGGGAGAGAGCAGTTGGTGTGAGAGATGAAAATAATAGCAATGTACAATCTATCGGGGGTTTTGGGGAAGGGGGGAAAGAGCTGATATCAAGGGCTCAATAGAAAGTAAATGTCTAGAAAAAAATGAGGTCAACAGGTACAAACATGCCCGATACAACTGATGATGGATTGTGATAAGAGTTGTACGAGCGAACCCCCAATAAAATGATTTAAAATAGATAAATGATAAAATAAAAAATGGGTCTTTGGTGATGTGTAGAACGGAGTAGAGTATCAAGGAATCCAGTTAGGAAACTGAGTTGAGAGACCTGATAAGGATGGTAGGAATCAAAACGGAAACGGTGTGTTTATTCAGCAATGCTAAGCACTTGATAGATGCCAGATGGGATGGGTGCTAAAATTGTAATAAGATGTGATACCTGCCTTGAAGAAGCTCTCCACCTAGTATAGTAGTAAATACAGCAATTGGGAGAACCACCAGGAGAGCTGCTTTTCAGAATTCACAAGCTTAGATCTAAGCTGTTGCTAAGGAAGGCTTGTGAGTCTGGGTCAGAAACTAGGGTGAGATAGGCACGCAGATTTTAGAAGAGCTTTCTGCATTGCAAGTTTTCATTAGATGGCTACATGTGGTTGGTGGTTCCCGGATTAGAGGATGCATGTGTCTGGCACTAGAACTGTGTACCGTAATCATGTGAACAGTGGGCGCTCTCGCTCTCTCTCTCTGACCTATTGTTTCACTGGTCTTCTTACAATTCACATAAGTGAATAGTGAGTAGAATCAGTGGGGCTAGGGATTTAGGAATAGACTGAAGAATGATGAAGAGAGGGAGGGGATTAACATTGAAATTTTAATGTCAGGAAGTGTTAAGAGGCCTGCATAGTGTTGCCATTGAAATAAATAGAGAACAATAAAAATCATGTAATTTTTCACTCCTTTTTCTGTGCTTGCATTTCAGGTTGCAGTTTGTAACTTGGCTTCCCTTGCCCTGAATATGTATGTCACATTAGAACACACATATGACTTTAAGAAGTTGGCGGAAGTCACCAAAGTTACTGTTCGTAACTTGAATAAAATTATTGACATAAATTACTACCCTGTCCCAGAGGTATGAATCATTTTTCTGCTTTTTGGTAATGAAATCCAAGGTGGATGGAATTTTATCAGATTCTGAAAGTTATTTTAAATGGCTATGGGAATTGTGTAAAGAGGATGTACACTGGTGCAGATAGGAACTGGAAACAGGGAATCCAGGACAGATGAACCCCTCAGGACCAGTGGTGAGAATGGCGATACCAGGAGGGTGGAGGGAAGGTGGGGGGAGAATGGGGGAACTGATTACAAGGATCTACATATAACCTCCTTCCTGGGGGATGGACAACAGAAAAGTGGTTGAAGGGAGATGTCAGGCAATGTAAGGTATGATAAAATAATGATAATTTATAAATTATCAAGGGTTCATGAGGGAAGGGGGGATTGGGGAGAGAGGGAAAAAAATGAGCTAATACCAAGGGCTCACGTGGAAAGCAAATGTTTTGAGAAAGATAATGGCAACAAATGTGCTAGACACAATGGCTGTATATATGAATTGTGGTAAGAGTTGTACAAGCCCCCAATAAAATGATTTTTAAAAAAAGAGATGAAGTGTTAGTGTATGTCATTTGGTACAGAATTGTACTTTTAATTTTTGTTTAGTAATGTTTTCTCTCTCTTTCCCCCCTATATCTGTGGGCACAAAGGCTTCCTTATCAAATAAACGTCATCGCCCCATTGGAATTGGGGTACAAGGTCTGGCAGATGCTTTTATCTTGATGAGGTATCCTTTCGAGAGTCCAGAGGCCCAGTTATTGAATAAGCAAATTTTCGAAACCATTTATTATGGAGCGTTGGAAGCCAGTTGTGAACTGGCTAAGGAGCAAGGCCCATACGAAACCTATGAAGGCTGTCCAGTCAGCAAAGGAGTAAGTATTGGATGAAATTTCTTTTTAGCAGTGGGTACCTATAGTAGGCTAAATATGGTAAGTCCTAATCCCTGGAATCTGTGAATGCTACTGTATTTGGAGAAAGTGTCTTTGCAGATGTAATTAACTTAGGTTAAACGAAAATGATCTTCCTGGATTATCTGTGTGGTCCCTAAATCCAGTCACAATTGACCCAGACAGGAGGATGCACTTTGACACGGACGATTGGAGAGATGCAGCCTATAGCTGCATCTTCTAGGAAAGCCTACAGCTAGACACTGGGACAGAATCTCCCTAACTTCTGCCAGAAATGTGGTTCTCCCAAGGCCTTGATTTTTTTTTTTT